TGCTCATGAATATTAAGTGACGCAACTTTCGCCCAATTTATTGGCTTAAAAGGAAGAGTTGCTAATATTGTAAGGGCGTGGTACATGAACAAATATTTATTAATAAATATTAACTAGTTCAATTTAGAAAAAGATTACAAAACCCGGTAGGCCTATATTCACAACTGAGACCTTGAATTTTTCATATCGGAGCGCACATACAGAAAATGTTTTTGATTCAACAACAGTTATTAAATGGAGCGTGATAGTATGCAACAAACACACAAGTCTCGGGGAGAATTTTGAAACATTCTTAACTTGACACTTAAAAAATGTCTCATGGCGAAAGACACTGGAAAAACTCTAGGCGCCATTGAACTTCCATCGGGCACTTTTTCTGTCACCATGTAAAACAAGCAGCCAATAGCATTTCAAATGTTAGTTGCCTATATAAAAACTGATAACGATGTCTTACCTTATAAAATTATGTTCTTGTTGTGGTCGTTCACTTTAATCCATATTCAACTGCCAATGCCAAAACTAGCGCAAATTAACTAGTTAGCAGAAGATGACGAACGATATAGAGTGGTGGAACTATGATGTCACTTTGTAGGCAAAAACCCGGAAGTGAGTTAGCATTTTAGCACTTCCGGTTCCATCGTTCCAGAGTCAATGGGTTTTTTGAATGGGAGTTTGGTTAAATCTCCTAAAATAAGGTCAGTGGTTCACACAAGCTCAAGATACTTTCACGTTTTATTCTACGACATAAAACACACCAGATACACCCCACTCGTGATTTTTTAAAACTGTTACGTTTCTTTAAAAAGACGGTGCTAAATGGGACTACAGGCGCTGTCGGAGACATTAAACGTCAATTATTAAATCAAATATTCAAAAAGAGTGGCAGAAGAAGTGGGACATAGCTGATACAGGAAGGTTTTATTATCAAATTAATTCATCAGTTAAAGAAGTACACAATTCTGGAATATGTAGGAAAGATGAGGTGATTTTAAATAGATTACAATTTGGGCACACAGGACTAAATGCATCACTATACAAAATAGGTAAACATATTACAGGTAAATGTGCTTTTTGTGGGGTAATAGAAACCGTTGAACATGTAATATTAAAATGTCGGAAATATAATATAGAGAGAATTAAAATTATAAAGAACTTAAAAGGTAATAATAAAGAAAGAAAGAAGATAAATTGGATATTAGGAAAAGGATTAAGAGAAAGTATTAATCAAAGAATAGTAATGGAATATATAGTAGAAACAGGATTAAATAAACGAATTTGATAGTTAAATAAATAAATAAATAAATAAAGCAAAGGAATAGGGGACCACACAAGCTGGGTTTTTTGGCATGGGAGCTAAACATGCAGCAGCTTGGGTGAACACGAAATAAAATTAACAATTAAAATAAATAAATAAATAAAATATGAATAGAGGCGGGACTATCATCCATGTATGATTAGAAACAGTTGGTGGCGGTATGTGCCTATGGTGCGGAATACGCAAAAAAATTCCAAAGAAGAAGAAGAAGACATTAAACGTCATCACGCCGAACAGTATATCAATTTACAGCATATTCCAATTGTAGTATAATTTATAGTACAATTAATTGTAGAATAACCAATTAATAGTTTACCGCATTTTATATTGTTGTTAGACAATGTTTTTTTTTATTTTTTTTGCTTTGCCCCGAAATGCTACACAAGTCTTCGGATGGAAGATGCTCGTTTTATCGCTTACTGATACGGAGATGCTGGGTTCGAACCATAAGGTAAACTCATATTACGATTATTCCATGTAAACACCACATTTACTATAAAGAATATCTCTTTGGATTTGAGACTTTAGTCTTTGCAACTTTACAGATCTTCTTTATGCACCAAGAGCTTGTAACACTCCAAAGAGAAAGGAAAAATTGAAATCGCATCATATGACCCCTTTAAAGAGGGGATTTTTATTATTTATTTAATTCATTCATTAATTCATTCATTTATTCTTTACTTGGAAGTCTAACCATTTTTTGGGCTTATACAGAAGTTTGTGGATAAATCCCTTTAAATAAAACATAAAAAGTCAATTAAAGCAACTTTGAAATAAACACATTGTAGCCTACTGTTTCTCTTTCTTGTTGACGTCAACTTTGGCTGGACTTTATGAATCTTTCCCTTTCTGAGCTCAGCAGTTACAGTGAAGAATTTAATCTGATAGAGATTGGACTCTCCAGCCAAAGTCATTTTGTTGTGTTCATGGAGAGGTTTGCTATGGCTGTGCACTGGCCACACTGTCCAAACAGACAGCTTGTGCTTGACTGCCTGTTCCCATCCTGAATTTACATAACAAAACATTACAGATTTATTGAAGAATATCCAAAAAAAACATGAGTCAAATCAAACGGAGATGTTTCAGGCATCACAACGTTGGGGTCGTGACCTGAAAATTTCTAAGAACTGTATCCTGCACGGTAGTTTTTCAAGCAAAAAAATGTATAGCTGTAGGTGAGACCCATATATAAAATATGCAGCTTCTCTTGTGCTAAAAATATGTGAAATGTGATGGCACACTGCAAGGATCACATCCTTAAAGGAATTTTGGTTTGCGTAGGTGAATTAAGCTGAATTATCCCATTGAGACAGAAGTGTCACCCCCCCCACCCCCCACC